ATAGACCAAGAGGCAGTTGTTCAAACAGAACATGGGAACACTGAATGGTTTAAAATTAGGAAAGGTGTGTGCCAGGGTTGTGTTCTGTCACTATACTTATTCAACCTGTATGCTGAGCAAATATACAAAAAGCTGGATTATATGAAGAAAAATGTGGCAGCAAAGTTGGAGGAAGAGTCATTAACAAGCTGGGGATATGCAGATGATACAACCTTACTTGATGAAAGCAAAGAGGACTTAAAATACTTACTGATGAAGATCAAAGAGCACAGCCTTTGGTATGGTTTGCTCCTCAATATAAAGAAAACAAAAATCCTCACGAATGGACCAATAAACAACATTCTTTTAAATGGAGAAAAGATTGATAATGTCAAAGACATCATTTTACTTGGGTCACCCATCATCATTCATGGAAACAGGAGTCAAGAAATCAAACCATGTATTGTATTAGGCAAGTCTGCTGCAGAAGACCTCTTCAAAGTGTTTAAGAACAAAGGTGTTAATTTGTGGACTAAGGTGCACCTGATCCAAGCGATGGTATTTTCAATAATCTCATATGCATATGAAAGTTGGACAGTGAATAAGGAATACAGAAATAGAATGGATGGATTTGAGTTATGGTGTTGAAGGAGCATAGTAAAAGTACCATGGACTGCCAAAGGAACAAACAGATCTGTGTTGGAAGAAGTACGGCCAGAGTGCTCCTTGGAAGCCAGGATGGTGAGACTTTCTCTCCTACTTCGGACATATTATCAAGAGGGGCCAGTCACTGGAGAAATCCAACCCTGACAGCGTCCTGAGTTACATGCTTCATATAGGGACAGTTGGGGTTCCTGTGTGGGCCCGTTACTCCATCTGATCTGAATCCTTGGTCCTCATCCACAGAGACCTGAGGGCACACAGGTGAGCCTAGCACAGCTCCTGATGAGTAGCAGCTCAGTAGGTGATGCTCCAAGTCAGCCAGCTGCCTTGTTTCTGAGGGCTGCTGTCTCAGAGATGCCACATGAGGGTGACTTTCAAAGGTGGCGCTGTGTCCTCTGGGGGCGGGGGGGGGGTACATCCTTGTCTCTGCTCTCTCGCCTCCATCAGCCAGTCCTCAGCGCCTCCAGGTGACACTTAGCTTGACCCTGTTTGAGCTTCTCAAGTCCTCAGTTGTACACTTTGTATGTTGAAAGTGATTAGGGTTTATCTCCCGTCTGGAGCCAGGAAGAGTGAAAACAACCACAGACACCAGGAAACAGTTAGTCCTGAGGACCGTTACTAGTAGACCACGTGGACCTGCCCTCATGACCCTGAGACCAGAAGAACTAGATGGTGCCCGGCTACCACTGCTGAGACGTTCTGGGTAGAGTAGGAGAAAATGTGGAACAAAACTCAATCATAAAAGAGACCAGTCTAACGGTCAGATACAGATTGCTGGAAAACCCAGAGTCGGTTGATGGCCTTTAGTCACCCTTCAGGCCTGGGACACAACTCCCTGTTTAGCCAAACAATTGGCGCATGAGGTGAAGAGTCCTATCAGGAAGGCACATACCCCTTAGAACAGCCAACCATTCAAGATCAAAAGGGCAGCACTGGACTGCAAGGTCAGTTTGAACCACATGGTTGATGGCTCAAACTCACCTGCTGCTGCTCTGAGACCCTGTACAGGGTTGCTATGAGTCAGAATCGACTCAACGGTGCCTAATAACAACCACAACAAAGCTCAGAAGCCAGGAAGGGATAAGAAATACGGACAAGTCAAAGTGGGAGAGGAGACACTGAGGGAGTAGTAAGAGTCTATTGTATTGTAAGGATTACAATCAGTGTCAAAAAACAAACTGTGTTAATTGTTGAATGGTACACCAGTTTTGCTCTGGAAACTTTCACCCAAATCACAATAAAAAGTTTAAAAATGAGTAGATTTAAGACCTCCTCCCCACCCCCACTAATATGGTCACATCAACACAACAAAGAAAGCTCTGTTCCCAACTGGGATTACATCCATAAATATAGGGGTTAAGACACCCCACCCCCACCCCCATATTTCTACAGGACACACTTCAGTCCCCACCACCAGGTTATGTTGTGTGAAAATGAATGCATTTTTAGCAAACACACCTCCCTTGATTCTCTTTAATCCTCTCACTTTGTTTTCTTGGATGCACTGTGGTTTGCATCCAGAGCCAGCCCTTGACTGTTCACCTCCCACACTCTGAGGTCACATTGACCTGGGATATGTGGTAGACAGTTCCCTCATCTCTCCTTGGGGTCCCTGGAGCTGGCTGGTGGAAAACAAGCTGATGGTCTCAGTGCATCTCGATGTGTCTAGAAGCTGCATTCCATGATTGCGATTAGGCGGCAGATAATGTGGGTGCTCTCACAGGCCTGTGTGATGGGTGCTCTCCGTGGTTGATGGCAGATGTTTGTAATGTTTCTTGTCAAGACTCTGATGCCTGAAGGAGGAGGGGCTTTTAGGAGCTGCCAGCCTCCTTTTGTCTCTGGTGTGTCCGTGTCCCCGTAACAAGCTGACTCTCCACCTCGAAAGGAGCAGTTCTGTTTATTCGTTTGGGAGCTCCATTTGAGCACTTATCTTTTGCTTGTTGATTCAGTTGGCTTGATCCCAAGTAACAGCATGTTTATCTACTTGGAAGAGAGTTCTATTGGCTTTTCTCCTCCGTTCTGGAGGTGGAGGACCCATGCTCCCTGTAGCTCAGGCTGCCCACCTGGTGGTGTTATTGATGTGTACCGTGGGCCAGGGGAACAGTGAGTCAGTGAGGTTCTACTGAGGTTGCATTGCCTTGACGACCTTCTGCTAGAATGAGGTGTTACCAGGGCAGAGAAAAACATGATAACTTGTTACCATAGAAGTGAAAATTCCCCTCACTCTTTGGACTTGCAGAATTAGTCAAATCTATCATTCCAGGTTGGTTCCCCTGGAATGACAGGTACAATACGAGGGGATTTCAATGTACAAAGGAATGAAATGGACTGTTTGCATGAATGGTTTGCAGCCCCTCGTGGGGCATGACCCTGCTGGTATTGCGCGTGTCCTTTTGCTGCTCGGATGGAGAGTGGTATGCTTTGGCAATGGGTAGAACTTCCTGTGATTCTAAGTCAATTCCATGTAATAAAATGGTCCATGTGTACCAAGTACTCAGGCTCTGGGTGCCCCAAGGTGGGTGAGACCCAGTCCCTGGCTGTGGGCAGTGGATGGGGGCAGCTCAGACTTGTGAACAGGTAGCCACAGTGCTGTAGAGTGGGCACTGTAAGATGTACATGACCAACATGGAGGGGGAGCTTGGAGAGGGGCGGACTCTTACCTCATTTCCTGGGAGAAGAAGCTCGAGGTGAGTTTTGAGTTTATCATTGTTGTTACATGCCATCGAGTCGGTTTTGATGCATAGCAATCCTGTATAAGGTTTCTGGGGAACTGCTGGTGTTTTGAGCCATGGAGCTTTCGGTTCAAACCAACCTTGTGGTCCAGTGCGTTAGCCTGTAGCACCACACCTGATTTGAGTTTAGGCGTGGGGCAATAGGTGCAGAACTCACGGAATTCTGTGCTGCTGAACCCAGCATGCAGAGGAGACTGGCAAAACCTAGCCTACAGAGAGACAGCAAGCTAGAGAGAGAGAAATGGCTTTGGCTTTATCCTGTAACTTTGGCTTTATCCTACAGTTGTGGTCCTCGGTGGCAGGAGGGTGTGGAAGGCTTTGGGCTGCAGATCATTTGGAGGAGGATGACAACTTACCAGGATGGATGATGGATGATGGATGGATAAAACTCACCAAATCTAACCCACTGCCACCAAGTGGATTCTGACTCAGAGTGACCCTGCCGGAGAGAGGAGAACTGCCCCGTAGGGTTCTACACAGGATGGGAGAAGGGGAGCGGTCACCTAGGCATGGCCCCTTAGGGAGGTGTGAGGCCACATTCAAAGGAGACAGTGGTGGCGCTGCTTGGGCTAGAGACTGCTGTTTGAAGCAGGTTGTATTTATAGGTGGCTGCACATGTTTGCCTTTTTGAAAATTGAGGTTTTGCTTCAGATAATCAGGGACAAAAAGGTAACAGGCCCATACCTCCATGCGTTCATCTGTAATGTGTGTTCGTTCACTGCACTTTAAAACTGTCACATCCTGCTAAACTGTTAACCCTCTTAAGAGAGCAATCTGTGTGAGAGCCCTTTGTAGTTTTCTGTCTGCGGCTTGCACCCGTCCCAGAACTGGGACTTCTGAACAGGGTTTTGAACTGACTCATTCTGGTTCAATGACCCACTGCCCCTGAAAAGTCCACTGCCATCAAGTCGGTTCCCACTTACAGTGACCATAACAGGACAGATTAGAACTTCCCAGAAGGTTTCCAAGGCAGTAAGTCTTTATAGAAACAGACTGCCGCATCTTTCTCCCATGGAGCAGCTGGTGGGTTTGAAGTGCTGGCCAGACAATTGCTTAACCTCTGTGCTCCCATGGCTTCTTAATCCCACCCCAGCTGTACGGAATCTGAATCTGCCTTTCAACAAGATCTCCAAATTGATTCTTTTGTACATGTAAGACTCACTGGGGGATCGGTAAGAATCACTTGGGGAAATCTTGCCAAACTGTCGGTTCAGACTCCGTGTAGCTAGAGGGGAAAGGAACCAGTTCTAAAGCACAGACTTATACCCCCTGGCTGAGCGTCTTTGTGCAGCTTCTCCTCATCCTCCTCCCAGCTCCTCGGGAGTGCTCTGGTCCAGCCTGGGGTTCGGATCCCAGGTCTCCTTACAGGGAGCTCTGGGGGCACACCACTGCGCCCTCAGTCTCAAAGCATTTGCTCCCTCCACGGGCCCTGCTCCCTCCTTCAGGGCCCTGGCTCTGAAAGCTCCCACATGGGGCTCACCTCTGTGCTTACCTCTTAGGACTTTGCTACGGTCAGGACCGCCTGGACTTGTCCCCCTGGATCTGAACTATCACAGACGGCAGGGACATGTGTGCCTGGTTCAGAATCTGCTGGCTGTGCTCACCCCATGTCCCCCTTCTTTGCAGGAAAACAGTTCAAGTGTACGGTGTGTGACTACACAGCAGCCCAGAAGCCCCAGCTGCTCCGGCACATGGAGCAACACGCCTCCTTTAAGGTAGGGGGCTGGGCAGAGGGGCTCCCCCTGTGGCCTGGGCTGTCTCTCCACTTGCTGGCCCTGTGCTGAAGTTCAGTATGGCTGTGTCCAATGTGCGCTCTCCCTGCCCAAGGCTGGTGTGTTCTCTGCACTTGAAATTGCATCAGAAGCAGCATGTGTTACACACATGAGGGAGGCAGGCTGTGGGCATACAAACCCAGATGGATGGAGAGGAAAGAGGACTGGTGTGAAGGCTGGAGGGAGTGTTCTCAGGTGATCCATCGTGTGACTCATGGCGCTCCTTAAATGCCGCTCAGGGATGTTCCTTCAGTGCTGGTGTCAAGATCCTTAGTGCCACTAGGGGATTTCATAAACCATTCTGCTCAGTTTGACCCTTAGACTGGATGCTGACACACCCATGAGACATTCAGGCATCAAGATCTGCAACAATCATTCTCTGAAGTGTTTGTTAGAATTGTAACCACCACTAAGTCCTTGCTTATAGGTTGTGGAAAGAACCCGCCTACCTCGGCACACAGGTCGGGTTGTGTGTCTTTTCACCAATCCTTGCCTCCAGCCTCCCTCTTTCACTTTAAGGACACACGCGTTTAAGTGTGAGATGTCACACCAAAAAGTTGGTGGTTCAAACCCACTCAGAGATGCCTCAGAGGAATTGCTTGGAGCTCTGAAAATCCTGTGGAGCCGAGTCTACTTTAAATATGTGTCGTTGATGTGACTGCTAATTCTGTGATTGCATTGGACCCATTGGGCAACACAGGGCAGTGTCTACATGTTGGTCTTTTGATCAGTGACCACAATTCCATCTGTAACCTTAAACCCCTTTGCCAGGTAGACTTACATCTTTACAGTGTCTGGGGATGAGGAGTGGGGAACGTTTGAGGGACTGTTATTCTGCCTACCACATGCCTTTCATAAGGAGGACTGAAGAATTGATGTATTTAAATTAGGGTGAAGAATATTGTGTGCTGCACTATAGACTACTAGAAGAATGAAGACATTTGTCTTGGAACAGCATGCCTGCTAAAGTAGAGGGTCAGCGAGAAAAGGAAGACCCTCAGTGAGATGGACTGACACAGTGGTTCCAGCAGTGGATTCAAATACAGCAACAGCTGTGAGGATGGTGTCGGCCCGGACAGGTTTCCTTCTGTTGTGATTAGGATTCCATTGGCTTGGAACTGACTTGATGGCACCTGTCTTAGACTACGGTCTCTAGAGAAGCAAACCAGTGACGCCTCTGTGTATGTTTATAGTGTGTGTCTGTAGTGTGTGTATATAAAATGAAGCCTCCTTGTGTGTATATG